TACCGGATATCTGACGAAGATCTTACTAGCGAAGGCTATAAAAGGTCCTTTGTACAGTCTAGGAACACTGTATAAAAGGTCCTTTGTACAGTCTAGGAACACTGAATTACGATAATGTCCTTGCAGGGCCACAGATCGTCAAGATGTTGTCGTTATGTTCTCACGATCTCCTGGTGCTTGTACTCTGGGTCCATGTGTTCTGCAACTGGATACATATCTGAGAGAAAATGATGGTATTATTTGTGAATAGCTCTTTAAACTTATTTGAGCATTTTGTTGCATTTACTGCAATGGCAAATCAAGGTATCGTCAATCATCTTGAAAACGTTCGTGGAGTTCCATCTGGTTTTAAGAATCTGCATGATTCTTTTTACTGCGCTCGTCGACTTGGTGACTGCGGTGCGGAGCTGCCAGTTTATGAATACACGAAAGGATCCGGATCATCAGCAAGTTGGTCCTCCACTTCTTCATCATTTGCCATCTTGATTTTCATAGTCCTAAACCCTCGTCTCGTCTCGCTAGCTCTCTCGTATAAGCCTTTTCATTGGAGACGTCTACCCACCATAGTTCTTTTTTGTTAAAAATGTCCAAAATGCCTGCTTCACGGGATGAACAGTAGTTTCAGAAATTTACGCAGTCTACTAGAATTTGCTCGTTTTTAAGATCTTCATTTTATCTAACTTCAACATCCTCCAAAGCTTAGTAAATTCTTATGGTAGGGGATCCTCGAAAGCTAAAATGACGGTTTTTCAAAGGGATTTGAACTTAAGAATGCTTTGCAATTAGTGGTTCCAGCCCTCCACGCTAAGTTTAGATAATTTGTACTCTATAAAATGGCAAGATTACAATCGAGGTAGAGAGACAAATTGGTCTGCGTAAAGTTGATTACAAAAATACTTCTTGTTAATTTTCAATGTTTGCACATAAAGCTTATCAATGTAAGCGGATCTCCTTATGATGCAAAACCACTGAAACTTAAGGGGATCGAACCTGCGACCAGTCTGTATACACCTTATACCGCATCAATCCCACTAGGCTAAGACTGTCTTGTTTGAAAAAGCATGTTATAAGGATGATTCCGCAAAACATGATAACTACTCTTTAATAACTACTACCACTACTTTAACCACGCAGTACTTCTCC